ATCTACTACAATTTGTTTAATTTTAGTCTTCACTGTAAGTGTTCGAAGGTAATTTTACATAAAACCTCCAAGAATTGTAGTTATATACCGTTACCATAATATGGAAATGCCTTATCTAACATTTTTTTTAGAGAAAAGTTATACAACTTAATAAAAACAAAAGATATCAAATTTTATCAAAACCCTTGAATTTTAATAAACACCGAAACTAATTTAATGATGTGGTACAAAACTACACTGTTACTTTTGTACCAAACGGATTTTGGAAATAAAATGAGCTAGGGGCCTTTCTATATAATCGTAACAATATACATATATTATTCCCTTGACTTGTAAAAAAGTAGATCTGTTTGTGAACCTATTCAACCTAATTTTCAGCGGCTTTTCAGTTTGGCAGTTTATGCGTCCAAGGAAACCGGATGGACTTAGAGCAGCGTCGACAGTTGGCGCTATGCTAACGAAACCAATCAGACTTATTTCTGGGAGAATGTCACTTCAGCTGCAAACGTTTTTAAGGAATGCAACAACAACCAAAAACATTTATGAGACATACCTCCGACAGGTCTACTCCGTACACTTTGTGTCGAGACTGAAGAGCTTCGCCATTTTTCTCCCTCCTTTGCCAATTTACGCCAATTATTTATTCAGATCACATGCCGAGTCGAAGGATCTTTTCGGAGCGTTATCATCAGGCGCTCGATATGTCCACGCCGCGCAATCCTTGTATTTTTTGCTCATAGCTATGTATATAGTACATTAGGGTGCATCACTCTCTACAAAATGGATCTAAAAAAAAAAAAAATATCGCTACTATTTTTCCATCGGAAATTTGAAATTTATTACAAATATTTCAAGACTTCCGTTAGCTTCTTTTGCCAGCAAATCACATCCTTCGGTGGATAGGGCTCGGACTTGCCCCAGCAATGAAGTCCAGCAGTGGAATTCTGGTAATTGCTATGCTAAATTTTCGTCACCAAATATCTCTCATAGAAAAGCTGTGGGGCCTTAAAGTGTACAACATGGAAAAGTAACAGATGCAATGTGTACACAGTCAAATCTGGCAGTATGAGGGGCATGTAACTACTATAGATGATGCTTTTTGTTAGACTCGCTTGCTATTCTTTTGGAGATTTTCGGCGGTAGGTGGAATTAAGACCGCGTGAATTACGGCTACTTTGTTATTTCTTCGAATTCACCGCTATAAATCACTTATTGATCGCGGCCCAATTTCACTTTTCAAAATGAATTATGTCTGCAAAAAAAATACTGTGAATTTCGACGCCGTAGTAGGACTGATGGATGGCGTAACCCGAGTTTACATTTTCTCTGTCAAATGGTACCACTACTAAAATCAGGAAAACCAGCCAACAAAGGGGAGTCTTATCGAAGGATACATACACTCCTATCCCCAGTATTGAAGATACTTTAGACATCGACACCCTCGAACTTCACATGCAACCTGACTCCACGACGTATCACCACCCACGACAGTCGGGTCTACGTAACCGGAACGACCCAGATTTATATCTGGCCAAGGACTGTCACTCCTGCAACACTCCCCAAAAAGTCTTTGGGGAATTTGTATGCTGCTACAACAACAACAACGTATCACCACCTGAGCGTTTAACCATATAAATACTCAGTTAACTCTTCACTGTGAGAGGGATATCGTAGTAGCAATTGACTTGGTCACATGCTTTTTGCCACCATTTGTCATTCCACGCTACGCGAAATATATATTACTTACATATAAATATATATTATATACATACAGATATCTGTTTGCGCCAGTTCTCAGTACTTTTTAGAGATCAAATTTCGAAACCTCAACGAATCAAACAAGCTTTTGCAATGGGTGGTGTCAT